ATATACATATACATATACATATACATATACATACATACATACATACATACATATATATATATATATATAAAGATTATTGTATGTGCTCCACAAGAATCTTTGAACAAATGAAACAAGTCTGCTTCATATTGTTCTTAGAAATTACTGGGCAGCTTTGTTTCATGAAACCACTTTAAGAGTGGTTTTCTCAAGTCTTTGTTAAAGTGAAATATCCCTGCAGAGATCTAAACAGCCCTAGTAAAATCTAGTTTAGGCCTGAACATGAAGCTTGTTGAAGAAAGGAAATACTCATTTCTTGATTTGCCTTTTCTTTCAGGGCTCAAGGCAGTATACTGTATATAGCAGCCTTTTTTTTTCATTTTTACCACAACAATTCTGAAATGAATTGGGCCAAATGTCAATAATTCATTGAGCTTCCATACAGAATGGATTTGAATCTGGGTATCCTCGGGCCTAGTACAAAACTCTAATCAATAGGTTTATTTCCTAAAAATTCCAGATGAAGTATGAAGAAGAAAAATAAAGAAATAATACAATTGATGCATCTTTAAACCCTTAAATATATCTTGTTATGCTATGATGCCTTTTCCAAATAATGGAGTTCAAAGCTGGTTGCCTTTTTGAGGGTTGATCATGCTCTATTTGATATTGCATCACTTTTCTTGTGAATATTTTGAAATATAAGATGCTTGCTAGGCCATCCCCAAGATATTTTGCTGTCTTTCATGGCTGTACCTTTATCTCTCAATAGTAATTTAGTTCTTGCCTTAGCTCTCTCCTCCTGAAGGCGGGTCAGTCCCAGCATCTGCAACACAGAACAATTACATCACACATGCTAATGGTCCACAGTCCTGGATTTCTTAGTCTATCCATTTAGAGACACATGGATAAAATAATATCAGTAACGATAAGAACCTCATCACAAAGAAAACTGCCAACTTTAAAATCCCTTTATATATCTAAGTTAAATAGTCTTAATCATTTTTTTCTCTGTATGTCAGATGAAATGTAGAATTGCAGTTTAGGCATATAGGGTTACAGTTTAAGTTGTTCATGGAAATACTGGTAAATACTTCAGACTGTTTTCCCTTTCTCTATCCTAATCAAAGAACTTAATTAAGTCAGGGAGGGAGGAAGATTGTTTGATTTTGTTTTCCGTATATTTTTTTTTTTACAGAAAAGGAGTACATTCAACAAATCTAGATGTCTGAATTGTGATATCCAATTCCATATAGAGTCTACAAGTCAATAAAATATTACCATCTGTTGAAGACAAACTACATTTTGAACATTTATGTATTTTGATTGCATCAAAAAATTAGGTGACTTTTTATTGTTTATAAATTTCATCATCATAGAATCTTAATTATTAAAATGATTTCAGGAATACATCTAGAGAGCATAAACAAACAACAAAAGATTCTTGTTATTTCACCTGCTGTGTTCCTGCAAAGTCTCAGTATCAAACACCTGGTTACAGCTGTGAGAACGAACTGTAGACTATGAGATAGAGATTAAAAATTCCTATAGCAAGGTTTTTGCTTCAATCTTAACTTTGAAAAATCCTGCATGTGTATGTTGAACAATTTTTTTTGCAGTGTATAAATGCAAAACATCTTTTAGTCAGAATGACTGTTAGAAGTGAGTCTCCGTTTTACTTTTTCACATTGACAATGATCAGATAGTCACATAACCGTTCCTATTTTAGCAATTTAAGATTTTCAGTTATAATTGTACTCATTTTTACCCCATTCATTTTGTGGCATTTGTTTAATATTTGTTAAACCAAAGTACTGATAATGTATAACATTTTAATTTATAACAGGAGACAACTGAGTAGCTATTTGGCATCTTCCAGCCTTAAGATTCTGCTAATCCTATGAATATTTACAAGGACTGGCTTTAAGAGAATAACAAACTAGATGGCTATCAAATGCATCAGGCTTTGTACAATGAAAATGTGCATATAGCAGGATGAACTTTCCATGGGTAAATGAACTCTTTGGGAATTAATTTTAAAATATATAGGAAGTTAAAAATAGTTAATTTTATTTGAAACATAAAATGTATTCTAATTTTAATACTTTCTAATGTCTGGTTAAGATGTTTTTTCTGTTTGTTCTTTACACTATTTTTGCATATTCACTATTAGTTTTTCACCCAATGTCTTAAACCAGTGCCAGATGCATTTACTAGTCCTCAATAAATGTAGAAGGCTGTCCTGTGTTTCTGACACTGAGCAGTCTTTGGATTTGATGCTAACCTTCAGCTGCAAAGTAAAACATTTTAAAACACTACTTTTGGAAGTCAGAAAGTATAAATGTCACCTTCTGTACAACATAGGGTTGATCTCTGAAATGTGCCGGCAGATATCAGAAGAATGAAATGAATAGAGGAAACAAATTTGCTTTTGTTTTGCTGATGTGTATATCTGCAAATGTAGCAGGTTTAGTCACAGAGATATCACCCATGCAAATCATATATTGTAAAAGATACTCCAAATTAAACAAATAAACTAGATAACAGACAACTGAGGCTTATCTCCTGGAACAGTTCAGTCTAATATTAGATCTGCCGAGATGAAAAGTCTGTGGTCCTTACTTCTGGGGGACAGGGAACCTCGTGATATTCAGAAAAAAAGTATGATTAAAGTAGTGTATCAGAATGAAGACATTCATAAATGTATTTATAAACCACATTTATAAGCCACCCAACTCTTAAAAACTCTGACTATTACAAATGCCTGTCAATTGCAAATTTTACTTGCATTTGAATGCTGCTTGCATGCTACGGAAAAGGATTTGAGACATGTGTGGTGCTTTTTATTATTATTCATATGTAATTGAATGTTTCTTTTATTTTCTACATTTTGCCATATAAATATCTAAATGTAAATGTGACTAGGTCATGTTATAGCTCCCCTAATCAATTTAAAGCTTTCAGTGATATTTGTTATTATTGGCTATAGCATCCTTTTTGACCGTCTATGACAATTGAGAATTGAGGTACTGCTATGCAGTAATTCTGTTCCTTCTTAAGTGGGCAATTCCAATCAATGATAAAAGAGAGGTTGAGTCTTTGGGCAATTCAGTGTTGGGTACCCCAGAGCCCTTTCTTCTGTTACAAGTGGTTTAGGTGAATATTGTCACTATAAATCTCCACCCAGGCAATGGAGGCTTTGACCTTGTGTCAGTGGAATATGAGAGATCAAAGGGAGTAGAACCAACTAAGTCTGAATACCAACAAGATGAAGTTGCTATTAAGCCTCAGGTACCACATAGGCTCAATCTATTGTTTTTGATAGGATTATGATTCCCCTGAAGGAGCAGATGTACAGTGTGTGTATTTTTGACTTGCAATTCTTGCTATGACCTTTCTTGGACTGGAGGCATTGAAGACAGTGACTTAAGTCAGAAATTTAGATTTCTGAAATTTATTCTGTATGTGGCTGCCCTTGACAATGTCACAGAAGCTACAACTGAACAGAATGTGGCTGCCGGCCTGTCAACTGATACTAACTGATTTAGAAGAGTTATATCTATACTGTAGAAACTACATTGCTTCTAGCTTCAATTCAAGATATCATTTGTTTCTTATAAATACCTTTAAGGCTTCTTTAGGATTGCAAGACAATAGGTTCAAGCCAAGGATGTCCCAAAGGATTTTATTGAAAAACATCAAAAAAGTTACAGAAAAAG